GATAGTTATGTGAAAATCAGGACACTACTTAATGATTAGGGAAAGATTTTTCATTATTGTTGAGATTATTGTAGATTTCATTATTGGTTGAGTACTTTAACAATAATATCCTAAGCAATAAATAAGCCGATGAGTATAATCTGACATCATAGCATTACAATGTTGAAGTAGTCCTTTAGATATGCTTTGCCCCCCACCCCATCATCCCATGTCATGACACGCTGAGGGGAGAACTTCAGATGGCATCTCCCAGGGAGATATTCTGTTCAACTGTGTTGGAACTTTGTATGAGACGTAAGAAACACTGTGTTCCCTTTCTTCCTTCTTAAACAGAACAAGTAGTCAAGAAAGTCCCTTGAGAAGTAACAAGATCTGATTGAATTTTTCAGTATTTCTTTTCTGTTATTCTATCAAGTTCACTTGACAGCAGAGGACAAACTGCCTTTCAAATGCTGTAAGTGAACGCATCAGTGATTCCGAAGGAAAAACGCAGGTTATTAAGTGGGAACAAGTCTCTCTGAATATATTTACACCAACTCAGGGAAACCATTGTCCTCAGAAACCTCTGTGACAATCTATTTTCTAGTCTCAGTAATGCTTTAAGTTTGACAGATGATAATAAAATACAGCAAAATTACCTTTGAGCTCTGAAATGTACACCCGTCTCTGCATTCTTCATGTCTTGATTTTTTTATTTTTCCAACAGGGCCATCTATTGTCAGTGTTATTCCCAAGTACTTGAGTTTGATGTCAGGGGAATAGAGCTACGCATACCAAAGCCATACTTATAGGGGATACAAATATTATTGTCTGTATATGTGTATATCTGTGCACAATACACATGTGCCAACACATATTAAGAATTAGAAGGACCTTTCACCTCATTGCTTCCTTCATTATCATCTGACAAATAAGCAAATAAAATACACTCTAAAGATCACATAGCAAACTGGCTTTGAAGTCAGGCTTGACACCAGAAGAAGCTACCCTAGTGGAGGAGCTATTGTAAATTAATGGCTCCTGGCAGAGAGGGATAAGTCAGTTTCTTTCAGGGATGTGGCTCCTTGTAAGTTGCCCATGTTCCTTAGGTGGATGGTGCCACACCCTTGTGCATATGAGCAACACCAATTGGACTTAGTGGGTTATAAAAAAAAAAGAGGATGGAGGATATGGGAGAAGGAGGAGTCACAGAGCAGTGTAGGGGGGAAATAAGGGGTGGGTATAATCAAAATACTAATTAAAGTACATTATATACATGTATGAAATTCTCTAAGAATACATCTTTTTAAGAAGCAGGTTTTGGGGAATGTTTATGTGACAAAGACCTAATGAATTCTGAGGACTATGACATCCATGTTTCATATGTCCGTCCTCCTCTACTTCTATAATGTCAGTTTCACTATCATTTGACAGGTCAGGAATCTCAGAGTAAGAAAATAGCACAGGGCTGGGATGAAAAGTCAGCTGATAAAGCATTTACTGTTTAAGTATGAGGACTTGAGTTTGAGGTCTAGACCCCATGTCAAAAAATAGGCATGGGGATGAGTGTTTGTAATTCAAGCATCATGGAGGCAGAGAGAGAGATGATGGATCACTGGGGCTCACTGGCCAGTCAGCTTAGCAGAACCAGTGAATTCCATGTCCCAGTGAAGGGTCCTTCTTGAAACAAACAAAACAATCAAAAATGAACAACAATAAAAACAAGGTAGATGGCTACGGAGCAACTTCCGAAGTTGACCTCTTGTCTTTAAGCACACACTCACATGTAGAAGTACAAATATACCACACACACACACACACACACACACACACACACACACACACACAGAGAGAGAGAGAGAGAGAGAGAGAGAGAGAGAGAGAGAGAGAGAGAGAG